ATAGTATTCCATCGTGTAGATGTACCACAGTTTTCTAATCCATTCATCTACTGATGGGCACTTATGGGCACAAAATTTGAATAGATATTTCATCAAAGAAGAAATATAAATGGCTAATAAGAACATAATAAAATGGTCAATATCATTAGTTGTTAGGAAACTGTAACAGGAAATGAATAAGCTATACTTATAGAAAGCTACCCTTATTAATCTTAGCAAATATTAAACCCAGCTTGTTACTCTAACCTGATTTTTCTCAAAACTAGAGCTTACATGTTAAAAGGTTTTTTTCAGTATACTTCACAATCCAGCAGTTTCAGTTCCTGTGTGAACCTAAGGAGCAGCTTGACCTTCAAGGCTCTGGTTAATGCCAACTGCCCAGACACAGGAATTCACTGACAAAAAAAAAAAGATGGCCAACTCAAGGATGCTGAGTTAAAAATCCATATCAGGACCAGCAAGGACACTGCTGGCATATCTACAGCCCCTCCCCCTGATCTCCGTTCTGCTTTCCTTCTCCCTCTTAAAAACCTCTGCCTGCAATAAGATCTTAAAATGGGTTTTTGAGGACTGGGGAGAGTCCCCCATCTTCTCAAGATGCCAGCACCTGTCTCACAAGTTTGGCTTTCATTGCTGCAGGCAGAATTCAGATTTCAGTTACAATACATGAAAACAGATACATATCCACTAAGATGACTATCATCAAAAAATCAGACAATAAAAAAAAGTTAGACAATAACTGGTGCTGGGGATGAGTAGAAATTGGAACCCTCATACATTATTGGAGGGAATACAAAATGCTTCAGGAAAACAATTGGGCAGTTTATTAAAAAGTTAAGTGAAGCCCTGGCTGGTGTATCTCAGTGGTTACAGCATCAGCCCAAGCAACAAAGAGTTGGCCCCAGTCAGGGAGCATGAAGGAAGCAATCAAAGTGTCTCTCTCACATCAGTATTTCTCTCTTTCTCTTCCTTTCTCTCTCTCTCTCTCCCCCCACCCCCTTTTTCTCTTTCTCTCTCGTCCCTCCCTCCCTTTCACTCTCTCTTGCAGTTGTAAAAAAAAAAAAAGAACTCTTACCATTTGCAACAGCATGAAAGGACCTAGAGAGCATTATGCTAAGCGAAATAAACCAGTCAGAGAAAGATAAGTATTACATGATCTCACGCATATGTGGAATCTAATGACCAAGATAAAATGATGAACAAAAACAGGCCCAGAGACATAGAAACGTCAAACAGACTGTCAAACCACAGAGGGAAGGCAGGAGAGAGTGTGGGGGGGGCGGGGAATAGATCAACCAATGAACTCATATGCATATATGCATTGTTATCGTACTTCCTTACATGGACTAAAGTGTAGATATGAAAATATAAGTATGCCCTTTATGTACTGAAAGGGAAGACACTCCCAAATAAATCAAGTGGAAAAATAACAGTGGCTCTAGTACAGGGGTGGGCAAACTTTTTGACTCGAGGGCCACAATGGGTTCTTAAACTAGACCGGAGGGCCGGAACAAAAGCATGCATGGAGTGTTTGTGTGAACTAATATAAATTCAAAGTAAGCATCATTTCATAAAAGGGTATGGTTTTTTTTTTTTTAGTTTTATTCATTTCAAACGGGCCGGATCCGGCCCGCGGGCCGTAGTTTGCCCACGGCTGCTCTAGGATGTTACCATTTTTGTTATGCCCTACCGGTTTGGCTCAGTGGATAGAGCATTGGCCTGTGGACTGAAGGGTCCCAGGTTCGATTCTGGTCAAGGGCATGTACCTTGGTTGCGGGCACATCCCCAGTAGGGGGTGTGCAGGAGGCAGCTGATTGATGTTTCTCTCTCATCAATGTTTCTAACTCTCTATCCCTCTCCCTTCTTCTCTGTAAAAAATAATTTTTTTAAAAAAAAAATTGTGGGGGTTGGGGGGGACAATGGGGAGATAAGGACACATATGTAATACCTTAATCAATAAAGAAAAAGAGGTTAAATATATATTTACCAAAAATACAATTTCATTCTTAGATATATACCAGAGAGAAATGAAAACATATATACACACAAAAATGTGTACACAGATGTTCATAACAGCATTATTCGTAATAACAAACTAAAATCAATCCTTGTGTTCACCAATTAATGAATACATAAGCAAAGTGTCATATATCCATAATAAAATAGTATTCAGCATTAAAAAGGAATGAACTACCAATATATGCTCTAATATGGATGAATCTCAAATACATGCTAGAGAATAACAGAATCTAGAGACAAAACACTACATTATGATTGCCTTTATATTATTGTATGTCCATTACTTATACATATGGAGAACTATATTATTCTACAAGTCTTCTCTGAACTAGACTCTGGGATAGAGATAGAACAAAGAGGACTTGCCATACAAACTCTGTATTGAGATTTATTTGATAAATGAAAAAGGTCTTTCACTCTAGCAGGTAAAATTAGTTTAGCTATCATTCCAAAAAAATAATACCTTGCTTTTAGAGTAACTTTCAAAGAAAAAGTTCTCATCAGGAAAATATGAAGAGGATGATGTTAGCAAAAATGGTGAAGACCTCCAAAAACTCATATCTCTGTAAAAGCAATAAAGAAGCTGTCCAAAAATCTCAGCATCACCTTTTTCAGAACTCTGGAAATTAATCAAAGGTTTGTAGCTACCTGGGGAGCACTTATTGAAGGAAAATGGCTGAATCTTGGTAAAACCAGTGAGCTCTGTGGTGTTTTAACTTGCCCTAGTCCTACTACATGCTCTTTAGCTACACAGTATCTTGAAAAATAAGCTTGTGTTCTCAGAGCAGCCACCAGAGAAAACAGAATAAAGCTGGAGCTCTTTCAAAGTCTCCTTCCCAAGGAACTGTAATTAACTGACCCCTCAGGTGGCTCCCCGCAAGACCCCACATATAGGCAAACACAGAGCTTGCCCAGAGCAAAAAGCCTTAGGGGGAGGAGAGGGCCAAAAGCGTTAGTCAGAAACAATTATAGACAAGTGTTTATCTTTACAGTGCCTGAAGTGATAAATAACAGTCTGCGCAAACAATAGATTAACCAAAAATCTTAAAGGAGAAGCTGGAAAATGTGATGTCCATTAGGCTTTGAAAAGCCACAGACACATAGAGGTATGCACATGCTCAGTAAGGCCCCAGGAAACCCTAAGCTCTCACCTCTTGCTGACCTTGACACTACATAAACAAGAAGCAAAATCAAAGGCAGAGTTATAAATTGCCTGACTCAGTGCTGAAGGCATACCCCAACACACCTATAGAAAAAATTAACACAAACAAGTTGGTTCTTTGAAAGACCAACAATATTGACAAACCTTCGGCTAGAATAACCAAGAAAGAAAGGACTACTAAAATCAGGAATAAGAGGGACATTAGCACAGACCTTACAGAAATAAAAGGAATATAAAGAACTATTATGAAAAGTTATATGCCATCAAATTAAATAACTTAAATGAAATGGATTAATTCCTAGAAAAAATATAAGCTACTGAAACTCAAGAAGAAATAGGAAATCTGTTGTAGTAATATATAGAAACGTTTAAAAATGCTTTACAAATGTCTAAAAATGTTAAAAAGGTTTTAAAATGTTTGAGTTAACTTTCTTAAAACCTAAAGTGTGATATTAAGGACACATACCCCACCCCACTGCCCTGAAGCGTGTGTACCCCATAGATACGGATTTGAACATCAGTTACTAACTCAGAGTGACTTGCTAAGATAACCATTTGTGCGAGTGATGTATTCTCCCTAAATAACCACATGTAGCCCCTCGCCCTGATTGAGATTAACATGCGTGCACTGACATAACTCATTGATAGCCACCTGAACTGCTGCGGGTACAAAACAGGCTTTAAAAATGGGTCCTGACCAGCTAGCGGTGCTGGCCTGTCGAGACAGCCACAAAGGCACGTCGTCCTTTTATCAGTCCTCAGTCCGGAAAACAACGCCGCTCCACGCTCCTCTCTCTGCCAGATGACAGAAGAACGGCTAGTACCTACCGATTGAGACGCTACCGAGCTCTCGGGTGAGGAACGCCGGCCCCCTGCATCCGGACCGGACCAGCCCAGCTGCCGGACCCCAGAGGACAGCACCACTGGGATCCCCTCAAGCCTGTACCCGCAGCATCAGGAACTTTTGTGAGTAATAAAGTGCTGTGTGATTTGCAACTGCTTATGTTTCATGTGGTGTAATTCCTCCGGCAGTTAGTTGAATTATTTTGCATACGCTTAAAACTGAAATTAAAGCTTCTAGTCTTTTTGGTCCTAGACTTGCCCTTTGTCCTGCTTGTGTAGAGTAGCCTCTTCGCTAGCAACTACTTGAATGTCCCAACACCTGCACGGTTAAAGGGACGCCTTAGATAAACACCCCAGATCCTTTCCCAGGATCTACTTGAGACAAAATCTAATTAGACCAATAACAAGTAGAGAATAAATTAGTAACCAATGAACTTTCATTAAAGAAAGGACCAAATGTCATGGCAACCTTCACAAACTTCCAAAAAAACAAAAAGGAACACTGCCTAACTCAATCCATGAGGCCAGATACAGACATCAAACAGAAAGAAAGTTACAGACAATATCTCTTATCTCAATATCCCTTAACCTCACTATCAAAGAAACACAAAAGAAAAATGAGATAAATGTCTATCTAAGAGACTAGAAAAACTAATAAAGCTGACAAGGGTCAACAAGGATGCTGAGGAAACAATAATTGTAAAACCTTGCTGGTAAGCGTATAAATTAGTACAGCTACTTCAGAGAGTGTTGATAATAATACTTAGTAAAGCTGAAAACACACAGCTACAACTCTACAATTCCAGTTTTAGGTGTACACTGAAGAGAAACTCACAAATGTGGCTCATGAAACAGCAGACAAGAATCTTCATTACAGCATTGTTTTTCAATAGAGGCAAAGTAGAATGGATAAACTATGGCTTACTCATATAATGAAACTCCAAACAGCAGTTAAAAATGGGTAAACTAGCCCTACATGTATCAATACAGACATCAAGAAAAGTTGAATGAAAAAAACCTGCATATCATCCATACAGATTTTTAAGTATACAAAATAATACTAACTTTTCTGAACTTATACATAATGTAAATGCACTGGAATGACATACCAATTTCAGAATAGTGGCTACCTCTAGGGAGGCACATGGGAGAACTTTAGCTATTTCTGTAATTTCATTCCTTTAAAAAATAAAATCTGGAGTGATATGAATAATGTTAATATCTATTTAATTTCATGTGTATATTTTTGTTCTTTTCTCTTTTACAAATTAAAATGTATTTATTAATGTTTACATCAAGTATAAAGCAATATATATTAGAGAAACAATTCTCAGGCACAAAACTTTCATTTCTTTACAGTGTTTGTCATTTGAATATTGTTGAAATTAAAGTGTACAAACATTTTTATATTATTTATTTTGCATTAAAAATTCTGGACAGTTAGCTCAGTTGGTTAGATCACCATCCCAATATGCCAAGGTTGCAGATTCGATCCCTGGTCAGGGCACACACAAAAATCAACTAATCCTATCTAATAAAGAGGTAATGTGCAAACTGACCATCACTCCAACTCACAAGATGGCCGCCCACATATGGACACAAGATGGCCAGCAGGGAAGGGCAGCTGTGGGCAATCAGGCCAGCAGGGGAGGGCAGTTGGGAGGGACCAGGCCTGAAAGGGAGGGCAGTTGGGGGCCACCAGGCTTGCAGGGGAGGGCAGTTGGGGGTGATCAGGCTTACAGGGGAGGGCAAGTGGGGGCCATCAGGCCAGCAGGGGAAGGCAGTTGGGGACAACCAAGCTGGCAGGGGGTTATTGGGCCAGCAGGGGAGTGGTTAGTGGGTGATAAGGCTGGCAGGCAGAAGGTTAGGGGCAATCAGGCAGGCAGGCAAGCGGTTGGGAGCCAGCAGTCCTAGATTGTGAGAGAGATGTGAAAGTAGTCTACAGTATCTAGGAGGCCACATGAATTTATTGAAAGTGGTTGTCAGGAAGAATTGAAGGGTACTCACACATATGTATAAACACACACACACACACACACCCACACACACACACACACAAGCACAAATTTTGTGCACTGGGCCTCTGGTTCTATATAATAAAAGCCTAATATGCAAATCGACCCAACGGTGGAGCAATTGGAGAAACAACCGGTCGCTATGATGTGCGCTGACCACCAGGAGGCAGACGCTCAACACAGGAGCTGCCCCCAGCCCACAGGCCCCAGGCCAGCCAAGGCAGGTGCCAAAGGGAGCCCCGCAATCACCCCGCCGGTCACCTCACAGATCAGCTCTGATCACCAGGCAGGTCTAGGGACCCTACCCATGCACAAATTTCATGCACCAGGCCTCTGGTCAATGCATAAATAAGTGGAAAAAATTGATGCCTGTCTCTCTCAGTCTTCCTAAAATCAATAAATAAAAAATTTTAAAAAAAAGAATTCTGAATCCCACCCCTTTTTTTTAAGTTATATATTTTTTATTTTTGTTCATCTCATTTTAGGGATTTTTTTGTTTTTCAAGAGAAATGTTTATAACTGGATAGCATTGCAATGGAAGCAGCTTAGGATGTTGGAGCTATTGTCAGCCATTCTTTCAAGACAGCCTCCCTTTACTGAATTGGCATTAGGGAATAAACAATCCTTGACCGTGATCAAGGATCAAAAGATCCCAAACCTGGTGAGATATGCCAGCCTTTGCCAGGGGGGTTAGTCGCCAAAGACTAACCTGGAAGTGGCTTAATGGACATGGGTTGGATAGAGAAGGCCTAAGTGTAGCAACCACCTGCTCACAGCTCCTATTAACCCTATAATGACTGAAATGACCCCTCCACTCTATTTTTGTGTTGTTTCTGCACAGACTCCGGAAAAGTGAAGGCTGCCAATCTAAGTAGTACTCAAATGTGAGGAACTGCTAGTCTTGGATTTTTTCCCCCATTAAATTCAGCTGATCCTGTAGATCAGTAGAGAAATGTAAATAGATTCAAATTTTTTTAAGAATATATTTTATTGACTTTTTTTTTTTTACAGAGAGGAAGGGAGAGGGATAGAGAGAGAGAATCATCAATGAGAGAGAAACATCGATCAGCTGCCTCCTGCACACCCCCTACTGGGGATGTGCCCGCAACCAAGGTACATGCCCTTGACCAGAATCGAACCTGGGACCTTTCAGTCCGCAGGACAACGCTCTATCCACTGAGCCAAACCAGTTAGGGCTAGATTCAAATTTTAAAAAGAGCCAAAATGCAGTTTGTTTGTTTTTACTATATCAAACTATGCCAGTGCTTTATTTAGTAACTAGAGGCCCAGTGCACGAAATTCATGCACTCAGGGCTGGAGGGGCTGGGGGGGTCCCCTCAGCCCACATTGCAAGAGGGTGCAGGCCAGGCCAAGGGACCCCACCAGTGCACGATCAGGGCCAGGGAAGGACACAGGAGGTTGGCCAGCCGGGGAGGGATCACAGGAGGGCTCCAGGGCGTGTCTGGCCAGTCTCGCTCAGTCCCGATCGGCCAGACCCCAGCAGTAAGCTAACCTACCGGTCTGAGCGTCTGCGCCCTGGTGATCAGTGCACATCACAGCAAGAGGTTGAGTGGCCTTAGCATATCATTAGCATATTACACTTTGATTGGTTGAATGGCCGACCGGATGACCGGACACTTAGCATATTAGGCTTTTATTATATAGAATTCTCTTCTGTCTCATGGCATATGTCTACTTGCTTATATATTACATTGTTAATTAAGCATTTGTAATTTTATATGTAATATATGCATTCTTTGCCAGTTTTATTATATAGACTATGAACCTCATATGCATATATACAGGAAGACAGAAATCTAACTCTACCACAAGCTGCACAAATGTTATCTAAGCATTAAGTAAGTGTAGATCATAGGACTGCTAATCTCAGTTTGCTCTGTGATGTCACGTGCAGAATGTACAATTAACTGGTGATTTCCTCATACTTTTGATACTACTTGTACCTGTATATCTTTTAGAAAGACATTGATGGAGTCTGTATCCCTTTTGTACTTTTAATACAATAATTGTACATATTAGTTATATTTGTCTGGGAGATGGTAGAAATGTACTATGTTTATGCTTCTACATCCACTTTGTATAAGCTGGAAAAAAATATATAACATAAAAAGAATTCTGGGTTTTTTTTCCAACCACAGTTTACATTCAATACCCTTCCACACCAATTTCAGGTGTATAGCAAAGTAGCCATTAAACCATATACTCTAGTGTTCCTCCCTGCTGCCCCTAGCATCTAACTGGCACCATACCCTGTTATCTTGACATTATTGATCACATCCTCCATGCTACAATCCACATCTCTGTAGCTATTCTGCAACTACCAATTTGTACTGCTTAATCTCTTCACTTTTCTTTATATATATTTTTTTTATTGATTTTTTACAGAGAGGAAGAGAAAGGGATAGAGAGTTAGAAACATCGATGAGAGAGAAACATCGATCAGCTGCCTACTGGGAAAGTGCCCGCAACCAAGGTACGTGCCCTTGACCAGAATCGAACCTGGGACCCTTGAGTCCGCATGCCGACGCTCTATCCACTGAGCCAAACCCGTTAGGGCAATCTCTTCACTTTTCACCCAATCCAATCCCCCTATGTTCTGACAGCTATCAGTCTGTTCTCTGTATCTGTAAGTCTGTTTCTATTTTGTTTATTTTGTTCATTAGATTCCACATATAAGTGAAATCATATGGTATTTGTCTTGCTCTGACTGGCTTATTTCATTTACCATAATACAGTAAACCTCAATATAATAGACTAATTCAGGCAAGGGGGTGTCCATTAAAACGAAAAGTCCGTTATATAAACATGCGATTTTTCTGAATGCATACATTAAAAATTTGACAAATTAGTTTAGCTGTTTTTACTTATGTAGACGTGTAATTAAAATTAAGTATGTATGAAAAGTTTAATTTCACAGAAGAGTTTTCTACATGTATTACTGTAACTTTTAATTACTGAATACGTCTAATAAATGAGTGCATTCATCAGTCACCAAGAGTACACAAATGTACATGGCTGAGGCATGGCTTAGCACACACATTAGAACATTGGCCTGTAAGAGTGTGTTAAAATCTGCTACAGAGCCGTAGCCGGTTTGGCCCAGTGTACAGAGCATCAGCCTGCAGACTGAAGGGTCCCGGGTTCGATCCCAGGGGACATACCCAGATTGTGGTCTCTGTCCCCAGTAGGGGGCATGCAGGAGGCAGCCAATCAATGATTTTATCTCATCATTGATGTTTCTACCTCTCCCTCTCCCTTCCTCTCTGAAATAAAATATATATACATATGTGGAAAGGAAAGTTCAAAAAAATATAACTGCTACAGAAAGTCTCCTCATTTGACAACCAAATCAATTACCTCAAGTAATGCTGTGTGATCACGCCTTAATTATTTGCTGAACATTGTTTATGAGGGGTGACTCTTGGATTTAATTATGTAGACTATACTTGTAGACATGTAGTATTTATTTATTTTGGCGAAATTACTACAGTGTTTTTCCCAACATATGGCCTATTTGCTAGATTTGTTAAAAAATAACAGCAAATTGATAACAAAACAATAACCTGTTAGTTTCTTATATGTAAATCCTGGTTAAAAGCATTTTAAGCCCTGGCCAGTTTTGCTCTGTGGTTAGAGCGTCAGCCCTTGGATTAAAGGGTCCTGTGTTCCATTCCAGGTTAAAGGCTTAAACTCAGGCGCAGGCTCGATCCCTGGCCCCAGTTGGGGGCATATGCAGGAGGCAACCAACTGATGTGCCTCTCTCACATCGATGCTTCTCTCTCTCTCTCCCCTCCCCTTCCACTCTCTCTAAAAATCAATGGAAAAAAATATCCTAAGGTGAGCATTAACAAAATAAATAGATAAATAAATAAATAAATTTTTTAAATTTAACAGGTGTCAATTTTCACGTATGACATATGGTCCGAAAATTTTGTCCAATAGGTACAAAGTCTGTTAAATCAAGGTATACAAAATCAGGGTTTACTGTATCCTTTTAGATCCATCCATGTTGTAGCAAAAGGTTAAGATTTCCTTCTTTTTTACAACTGAGTAGTATTCCACTGTGTAAATATATTACAGCTTTTTCATACACTCATCTACTGATGAGCACCTCGGCTGCTTCCAAATCTTGGCTATTTAAATAATACTGCAATGAACATAGGGGTACATATACCCTTTCGAATTAGTGCTTCGGGTTTCTTCCGTTACATTCCCAGAAGTGGAATTGCTAGGTCATAAGGCAATTCTAATTTTAATTTTTTGAGGATCCTCCATACTGTTTTCCATGGCAGTTGTACCAATGAATTCAGTTTTCCCGTTTTTCCATAGGCCACAAAACTTTAACTCACATTTGGGGGTTGGGACAATATAGAAGTTAACTATTTTATTTATGAAAGTAGGAAAAAATGTTAAAATGAACTTACTTGCTGTGTTTGTCTAAATTCTTCCAATAGTTTTAGTGCCATGTCGTAATCTTTCAGCAAATGGTATGCAATAGCATACCCAATCCAGGAAGCACGCTGTGTTGGGCGCAACTGAAGAAGCTGATACCTTGTCTCCTTTAAATAAATAAATAAATAAATAAATAAATAACTAAATAAATAATTTTTTTAGCTTTTTATACTTTCTATAAAGTATTTCTGTTCATCACAGTTTTCAGGAAACAATTCAATACCTTTAATTCTTTTTTAATGTATTCAATTAACAAATATATGTTCCACAATAAAATACTTTCTGTGTGCCTTATCTAAATTATTTAACTTGTAAAATACCTCATGTAATGTAATGCTCATTGTAAGACTGTCACTGAAAGGTCGGCCCTGAGGCTCATGCTTTTAGGCTGACTTATAAAATTACCTTTATATAATAATTTCTTCTGGTAATTACCTATCTTGAGTGCGCAGGCTGACGCTCTATTCACTGAGCCAAACCGGTGGGCAGGTAATTACATATCTTAAAAGAGACACTGAGATAGTTTTTTACTGAACTAAATTTTGCTGTTTACAAAATTATTATATGAAATTACAATGGATTTACATTGTTATAGTAGGCTCCAGAGACAGGATGGAATTCTCAAACATCTTTTCAAGCAGAAACACCACTGCTGCCACTCTAAGACAGGTCAATATCTATTACATTAGGAAGAAAACACCAGAAATTCCACTATGGCTATCCCAGAAGAATCAAGATATCATCATTAACAGAAAATACAACCTCCTTACACAGGCCTCACTTCTTCACTGCTCACATCTGCCTCCAAGTTTTACAAAAGTGCATCTGCTTGGAGGAACAGGTCTCGAAAAACACTAGCTACAATGAAATTTTGAAAATGTAGTGTTTAGCTTCCCTTACTCTGTTGTTACAACTGGTAAAAGGAATGCCAAAAGGGCCCTAACTGGTTTGACTCAGAGGACAGAGCGTTGGCCTGTGAACGGAAGGGTCCAGGTTCAGTTCCAGTCAAGGGCATGTACCTTGGTTGCAGGCACATCCCCAGTAGGGGGTGTGCAGGAGGCAGCTGATCGATGTTTCTAACTCTCTACCCCTGTCCCTCTTCCTTCCTCTCTGTAAAAAATCAATAAAATATATATTTTTTTAAAAAAAAAGGAATGCCAAAAGGAATAACAAGATCAGATCTTCTTTCATAAAAAGATTACCTTTGACGAAACAACTTAGTATCACTCCTCTACCTTCATGTGTAAGTGTCTGGTTCCTTTTAGGCATATAAAATTACTGGAGGCCCAGTGAACAACATTCGTGCACTTGGAGGGTGGGGGCAGCATTCCTCAGCTTGGCCTGCGCCCTCTCTTGCAGTCTGAGACCTCTGGGGGGTATCGGGCCTAAGCCAGGATGCAGACATCCCTCTCACAGTCCGGGGCTCTAGCAGTCCAGGACCCCTCACTCCTTACCACCTGCCTGCAGCAGTGGCCAGGAGAGGCTCCAGCCCACCGCTGCGCTTGCCAGCCATGAGCCCAGCTTCTGGCTGAGGGGCCACCAGAGGGCAGCTCCTGCATTAAGTGTCTTCCCCCGGTGGTCAGTGAGTGTCATACCAAGCAGTCATTCTGCCTTTCTGTCGATTTGCATATTAGCCTTTTATTATATAGTGCTAGAGGCCCGGTGCACAAAAAATTGTGCACTCGGGGGGAGGAGGGGTCCCTCAGCCCGGCCTGTGCCCTCTCGCAGTCTGGGACCCCTCGGGAGATAACGACCTGCTGGCTTAGGCCTGCTCCCAGGTGACAGAGGGCAGGCCCAATCCCTAGGTGCAGCCCCTGGTCGGGCTCAGAGCAGAGACGATTGGGGAGTTGGGGCGCCGCCCCGTCATGCACAGAGCAGGGCAGATCGGGAGGTTGCGATGCCACCCTCAGTCACGCTCAGGGTAGGGCCGATTGGGGGGTTGGGACACCGCCCCCTGTCACAGTCTAGGCAGGGTCGATGGGGAGGTTGCGGTGCCACCCCTTGTCACGCACAGAGCAGGGCCAATCAGGGGGTTGGGGTGCTGCCCCCTGTCACGCACAGAGCAGGGCGGATCAGGGAGTGGGGGCGCCTTCCCCTGTCACGAACAGAGTAGGGCGGATAGGGAGGTTGTGGCCCCGCCCCCTGTCACACACAGAGCCGCAGGGCGATCAGGGGCTTTGGGCGCTGCCCTGTCACGCGGATCCCGGTGCCTGGAGGCATATTACCCTTTTACTATATAGGATAGAGGCCTGGTGCACGGGTTGGTTTGCCCTGAAGGGTGTCCTGGATCAGGGTGGGGGTCCCCACTGGGGTGCCTGGCCAGTCTGGGTGAGGGGCTGAGGGTTGTTTTCAGGCTGGAGGGGGACTGAAGCTCTCAACCGCTCCTTTCTTTCTTTTTTTTTTTTTAATTCTGGGCCAGCTTTAGCTTTGAGGCTTGGCTCCAGCTCTTAGGCCTCCGCTGCTGAAAGCAGGTTTCTGGCCTTTGTTTACCTTCTGTATTTGAAACAATGTTGCGATCCTGCTGGCTGAAGCCCGGTGGACTAAAGCAGGTTTCTGGGGTTTTGTTTAGCTTCTAAATTTGTAACATAGTTGCTTAGAGTTGCAGCTCAGAGGCCTGCAGCGGCAGGCGAGGAACGTTGGAGTCCTCCGTCACTGAAGCAAGCAAGCCTCATGTTCACTTTAAGCTGCCTTGTTGCCGGCCGCCATCTTGGCTGGTAGTTAATTTGCATATTGCCCTAATTAGCCAATGGGAAGGGTAGCGGTTGTATGCTAATTACCATGTTTCTCTTTTATTAGATAGGATGCTATTATCACTCTCATTCCTTATTTTCATTATTGCTTCTGTTACTCCATCCCTTCATTAAAGTCTGGGTCGGTTTTCTTCTCTCTGCCAAATCCTACCATTATCCTGGGCAAATGGAACAGCGTAGAACACCCATCCAACAACCTATCTTACATCTAAAATTTCCTTATCTTTAATGATGTCCTCTACCCCTCTTCAGGGACCCACTCCCACAACCACATCCTAGACCAGGGATTTTCAACTGGTGTGCCACGAGATTTTTTAAAACATGCAATACCTATTTAGTCGAGTCAGATGCACTGACCTCTTTTCCCTTAGATTGTCAAATAAAAACATGAAAGCAGCCAACACAATAGCCATCTGGTGTGAATGAATAAAAATTATGTATTTTTTTTTGTCAGATTGGCAAAAAGTATAATCTATTTTTTGGTGTGCCACAGAACTTTAGTAATTAGCTTATATGTGCCATGAGATGAAAAAGGTTGAAAATTGCTAAGACTGTCAAATAGAAAAATGACAACAGTCAACACAATAGCCCATTGATGTGAATGCCCTGTTTAAACCATAATACATAGGTCATATAACAGAGCTGTATCTTATTGGTCATGCCACAGAAGGTTGCATCTAATTGGTTAATTCTTGGTACCAGAAATCCTTATATACAAGTATAGGCACCTGATTTTTTTTAAATCACTTTGGAGTAAAAAGGATAGATAATTACTATTATTATTATTTTTGTAAACCAATCAAAATTATATCTTTTTATGATCAGATTAGCAAAAATATGTATTTTTGGTGTGCCACCGAATTTTAGTAATTAGTTTAAAAGTGCCATGAGATGAAAAAGGTTGAAAATCACTGTCTTATTTGCCACCCAGAAATCACAAAAACAAATTATCTCATTCTCTGGCCATAGCGCCTATGCTGCCAACATTTTCACTCAGTGACATTCCTACCCTTGTTCTTAAGAGGACACCATTAGTAACTCTAGTTCCTTGCGTCCTTCACTTCTAACCACCAGCTCTTTTACTTTCATTTATTTCACTATCCCTCTTAGGAACCACTCTGTTGCCAATATTCTTAATTTCTTTGCCTCATGAATATAACTAATGTTAACTCTCACCACACCCAGGCTGTTAAGTACTGCTGAAGAAAAACCACACAATCTTGAAGAATGATTATATCAATCTCAGCAGAACTCTTTAAACATCTGCAAAAAATCTAGGCATAGGGTATAATGACTTATGGCAGAAGGGCAAAAGTAAAAAGTAAATGAAAGACAATTTATTTAAGAAGTGTTAAGAGTTGGTGGCCTCCTTCACAAAAGAAAATAAGAGAATTACGTTTTGGACATAATGAGTTTAGGATACACATGGAGATGTTCAGCAGAGCTGAAGAAGCCAGTATGGACTACAGAAAGACTAATGTATGGCAATCCTCACATTATTTTATATTTACTAACCCATAATAAAGAAAGCTAACTAATCTCTACATTTAGATTTCAATTATAAACATTCTTTTTATCAAATTTGTAAATGTCAAACCAACAAAGAATACAGTACAGCATTTGTACACAGGAGATAGTACAGTTGTTTTTTTTTAAAAAAGCATTAAATAAAGTTATCCCTTGTTGATAATGCAGTTCTACAACTATTACTGGGGGAAGGTCCCAAGTGACTTTCCACTTCTAGACTATAATGAACAATCAAATCTACATGATCTTGGCTTACACTCACTTCATTCTGAATTCACATGTTTTAAATTATATCTATCTGTTAAAATGTGTACACTTAAGATTAGAGTACTTACTCGGTAACCTTCAAGGTCTCTCATCTGGATCTGCAACAGAGAGAGATCCCTCAAAATTTGCAGATTATCTTTATCTAATTTCAGGGCATTTCGGTAACACTTAATAGCTTCATCATATTTCTTATCAGAACGCTGCAAGAGTCCATATACATGCCAACCTATTAAGTTAAGGAAATACAGACATTCACAGGTACTAGAAAATACTATGCTACATACCTATCTAATATAAAGCTTACTTTAACGAAATGGCATTTTTGTCTGAGATTTATTTCAGAATAACCTGGGGTCAGAGGGAAGGGGACAGTGAGCAAATGGTAAAAGGTAACATGAGATCAGCCTTGACGGACAACTGTTAAATTATTGAAGCTAGGTGCTGGGCACATTCACTTATTATGTACTAGTATTGAAAAAGAATATACTAGAATACAAAAATTATCTTTTAAAACGAGTCTATATTCAATCAATTCTAAAACAACATGTAACCATCATTTAATTCACCAATGATATTAAAAACCACAAAATTAATTTTTTATTTATTGTAAATTAAATTCTTAGCATATCTTGGAGCCAAAACCAATACCATACTTATATGCCCTCTCTCTCTGCTCGAGAGTAAGCACTGAGATAAAGAAGTAAGTATTGCCCTAACCCAGGCATGGGCAAACTACGGTCCGCGGGCCGAATCCGGCCCGTTTGAATGAAATAAAACTAAAAAAAAAAAAAAAAGACCGTACCCTTTTATGTAAAGTCAAAAAGTTTGCCCCCCCCTGCGGGCCTAACCGGTTTGGCTCAGTGGATAGAGCATCAGCCTGCGGACTCAAGGGTCCCGCGTTTAATTCCGGTCAAGGGCATGTACCTTGGTTGTGGGCACATCCCCAGCAGGGGGTGTGCAGGAGGCAGCTGATCGATGTTTCTCGCTCATCGATGTTTCTAACTCTCTATCCCTCTGTAAAAAATCAATAAAATATATTTTTTTTAAAAAAAGAAGTATTTAGTATTTTGAGAGAACCCTAAGCTAAAAATGTGAAAACACAACTAAGACTATTGATGTTCAAAACTGGCCCGGCCCATAGATGAATTAAATGTAAAAACATAGGAAACAGGAAAATATGTGAAAAGGTTATTAATAAATATATAAATAAGCAAAACAGAAATGAATATCAATTTCAATGATCTAACCTTAAAAAGTACTTTTGTTCTTTTACAAGCTGGATATTAGACACAGAAAAATACAATTATGAGTATCAGTGAAAATAGCTATGTCCCTATGCAAATGAAACAAGCTGAAGAACCAATATAATATCACACTTAATACTAAATAAAATGTTTTAAAACAAATTTCCTCTGAATTTTTCTTGTACAGTTTCTTAACGAAAGTTTAAAGAACATAAATTTTACTATACAGGTTTACTACACTATACAGGTTTGTAAGTTATCTGGAGCGATGTGAAATATCACTAGTTTATGGATGTATAGAAAAAACAATGAGGTTCAAGTCACATATAATTATCAGCACTCTTCTCTCACAATAAGCACAACTGAAATACATACCTACTGAATAGAGATTCTCTTTAAAATACTCCAATAAATGAGGCATAGGGGACAGATAAACTAATACTACAAAATGTTGATAATTATTGAACCTGAGTAATTAGTACATAGAGTTCATTAAATTCTCTTCTACATAGGATTGAATTTTTGAATTAGGAAAAAACACTAATAAATTGAAAATATATATATGAAATTAAACTACTCAACCACTGCAAAAGGATACAGACATGACTCTTGACATCATTACGAAGTCCTTTACGAACAAATTCATATGCTTCTTCTTTTTTTCCTAAACAGTTCAATGTTAAGCCTTTCATAGCCAAAGTCTCTGAAAAATATTTTTAACCTCTATTTACACATGAAAGATTCAAATTATCTTAAGGTTATTTTAACATTTGACACCTGCCATGCTTATATTATTCATCTTTTTAATCCCATAGTTAGAAGAACTTCTCTCCAAAAACGGCATTTTAAAGATTTGCTTAAAGTTTAGCCCAGGTCCTTTTCTGAAATTCCTTAGGTAGGGGTTGAGTTGCTAAAATGCTTTCTGCTCTTTAGAAGACTCTTTAAAGGGGGTTGAGATGATTCTGCTGAGAAAAGGTAACACAGCAGGCACCGGAATCCTGTTGAGCTAAATCTATACAGCAGTCCACCCTTCACCTGAGATCAATTCGAATCAAGAATCAAATCTCAAATCTGACTTACATCCCACAAAACAATCTACCTTAACAAAGAGAAAAAAAATCACCTTACCCAATACTGGAATAGACTGCATTTTTGGCAAGTTTATTCTAACTAATCCTAATTCGGCTAATTAATACCCTTTTACCTTTCAAGGATACAACACTGGATGACAGGAGTGGCAACCCAAAAATATGTTTACAGTAATTAATGAAAGATGCTTTAGATTGAAATAACTCTCTGAATAACGCCCCCCCCAAAAAATAATCCACAAGGGAATTAGATAAGAACAATTGTTTTCAAATTAATGTCTGTGGATTTTTGTTTTCAGAACATGGTGAGTCCAAGCTCCTATAACCAAACAATTTTTTTCTGTTTATACATAAAGAACTTCCCTACAAGCTTCCACTTAATAATAGATAAGGGTTCCATAGTGAAAAAGTTTGAACACAAGTTTAAATTTCTAAAATTCTATGAAATGAAGACTTCTTTCCATTTCCTTCAAAGAATGTTTTCAACATTAGAAAGCTGAGCCAGGTCAGCCTATTTTCCCAATAAGACAATTTCAAGAATTACCGGTCTAATATTCAGTTATCTCAGTTAACTTTGCTTTGCTATAGGACCTTAATTTGTATATCTAACCTCATCTATCCTTTTAACAAATACTAGTGACCAGTGAAAAAAGATGAGAGAAGCAAATGCAAACTTATTAATATCAGTGCTAGAAAAACAACTCAAGATAAACAATCTAATGATAAATGTCATATTTATATATAAAGGCCAACAGATATATAAAAGACATCTACCAAAGAATAAAATGTATTTGACTGTATCTTTATACTACTTCGGTATTGCAAATATTGTCCTAATTTTATACATAGAAAATCAAAGAATAAACTTAAGTTCTAGTAAAATAGATGAAATCACATCTATAAAAATATTGGCATATACTCCAACTGTTTCCCAATGAATCAAACAACAACCTCTCATCTAATAGTAAAGACTCGTATATGTATATGTATATGTATATGTATATGTATATGTATATGTATATATAGGCTTAAACATAATAGAAGTAAAGTAACCTTGAATAAGACTGACATGAAATATAACTAAAAATGTTAAATATTTATACACTAGAGAGCTACTAGGCCATGGAATCTGGGAAGTATTCTTCTTTCACTGTTAGGAATCCTATCTATCTGATTTTAGAATTAGATTTCCCCAAAGCAATCTCTCACAGGTAAGACAATACCTCCATGTTCAGCAAATTTTGGATTCGAAAGAATCATCTTGCAAAACTTGAGTCCATTTTTATATTGCTTCTGTTCATAACATTTCTGTAAAGAAATATACAAAAATTATTTTATAAAATGAATATACACGAAACAACTTTTACATAATTCAAGATCCAAAGTGAGGTTTAAAACATATGTGATGGAAAGATTTTATGTCAATTTATATCACTTACTAGAGGCCCAGTACACGAAATTTGTGTGGGGTGTGTGTGTGGTGGTGGGAGGGGTGTCCCTCAGCCCAGCCTGCACCCTCTCCAATCTGGGACTGCTGGCTCCCAACCACTCACCTGCCTGCCTGCCTGATCACCCCCTAACCACTCCCCTGCCAGCCTGAATGACGCCTAACTGCTCCCCTGCCAGCCTGGTCCCCCCCCCAACTGCCCTCCCCTGCAGGCCCGGTCCCCCCCAACTGCCCTCCCCTGAAGGCCTGGTCGCTCCCAACTGCCCTCCCCTGCGGGCCATCTTGTGTCCACATGGGGGCGGCCATCTTGTGTGTTGGAGTGATGGTCAATTTGCATATTACCTCTTTCTTATATAGGATAACATGAAGTGTGTTTCTGTTACCGAACTGTTCTAGTGTCTGAGCATTTTCACTTTTACAGAAGATACAGAAAAAAAATACACTTAATAAACAGGGAATTTAATTGTCAATCAATACTGCTACAGCTTTTTAAAATTCAAAACCCAAAAGCAAAAATATATGTGACAACGACAGAAAAATACTAGAAACTGCATTAAAAGCCTTTGGTACTTCAAGAATGGAACCAAAAGCCCAGCCATTGTGGCTCAGTGGTGGAGCCTTGACCTATGAACCAGGAGGTCACAGTTCAATTCCCGGTCAGGGTACATGCCCAGGTTTTGGGCTCCATCCCCAGTGTGGGGCAACTGATCAATGATTCTTTCTCATCATTGATGTTTCTATCTTGCTCTCCCTCTTCCTTCCTCTCTGAAATCAATAAAAATATATTAAGAAAAAAAAAAGAATGGAACCAAGAAATACACATACAAAATACTGGGGGTTTTTTGAGCAACCCTATTTTGTGTCTACAGAACTTGCTATAACTCATATTAATTCCTTAAGGTAGGTGTCATTACCTCCACCTTACAGATCTGGAAAATGTTCATAAAATGTGTTTATAAGTGATTCAGCTTAGCTGCAAACTCTGGTGTGACTCCAAAGATCATGGTCTTCCCATTACTAGTCTAATGTAAGTGTAAGCAACCTCTTTATTCCTAAACTAGAGGCCCAGTGCACAAAATGCATGCACAGGTACTGTCCCTAGTGGCTGCCGGCTGCCAACTGGGGCCTTCCTTCCCCCAGCTGCCAGCCGCTGGCCGCCGGCCAGGGCCTTCCTTTGTTCTGCGCCGGCCCCTGGTTGTCAGCACACGTCATAGTGAGCGATCGAATTCCTAGTCGGTCAAACTCCCAAGGGGACACTCTGCATATTAGGCTTTCATATATATATATATACTAGAGGCCCAGTGCATGAAATTTGTGCACAGGGTGGGGGTGCGTGCATGCGTGAGTGGGTGTGTGTTCCTCAGCCTGACCTGCACCCTCTCCAATCCAGGAGCCCTCAGAGGATGTTCTACTGACGGCTTAGGCCCGCTCCCTGTAGTTCTCTGCTCTCTGCAGGGCCTGCCGGCTCCACACCGCAGCGAATGCCAAGCAGGCCATGCTGGGTGCTGCCTACGGGCCGGGCTTGCCTGCTCCCCAGTCGCCCTGACAACAGCCAAGCAGGCCGTGCTGGGAGCTGCCTTGTGGACTGCTTCCCTGCTCCCAGGTCGCCGTGGGCCGTGCTGGGAGCTACCTGCCGTCAGCACTTGCCTGCTCCCCAGTTGCTGAGGCAATGGCCAAGCAAACCATGCTGGGAGCTGCCTGTAGACTGGGCTTGCCTGCTCCCTGGTGGCCCTGGCGACAGACAAGCAGGCCGTGCTGGGAGCTGCCTGCAGGCTGCGCTTTTCTGCTCCCGCGTTGCAAGCAGCTCCAAGCAGGCCGTGCTAGGAGCTGCTTGCCTGCTCCTGGGTCGCCATGGCAATGGCCAAGCAGGCCGTGCTGGGAGCTGCCTACCAATGGGGCTTGCCTGCTCCCAGGTTGCCACAGGCCGTGCTGGGAGCTGCCTGCGGGCCACGTTTGCCTGCTCCCAGGTCGCCTTGGCGACAGCCAAGCAGGCCAAGCTGTGCTGGGAGCAGGTGATGAGGTTAATTTGCATACTCACTCCTGACTGGCTGGTGGGCATCGTGAAGGTATGGTCAATTTGCATCTTTCTCTTTTATTAGTGTAGACAGACTGGAAGCCTGGTGCACAGCTCATCCACCCGTGCGAAACTGGTTCTCCGACATTCCCCGAGGGTTCCCAGATTGTGAGAGGGGCCAGGCCAGGCCAAGGGACGCCACTGGTGCACAATCGGGGCTGGGGAGGGACTGCGGGAGGGCTCCAGGGCGTGCCCAGTCCAACTCACCCAGTCCTGATCAGCCGGACCCCAGCAGCAAGCTAACCTACCAGTCGGAACATCTGCCCCCTGGTGGTCAGTGCGCATCATAGCAACTGGTCGAACAATAGGACACTTAGCATATTAG